TAAAATTATACAGCAATGAATGCAGAATGGCAACGGCTATAGAGGACTACAAAACCCTGCAATAGTACATTATACAGCGCAATGCAGAATACCGCCAGCTATAGAGGAATACAACAAATCCCAGCAATAGTACATAATAGTTGGCGGCATTCTGCATTGTGCTGTATAATGTACTATTGCTGGGTTTTGTAGTCCTCTATAGCCGTTGCCATTCTGCATTCATTGCTGTATAATTTTACACTTTCCATTTCACTATATTGCACACCACACTATCTTTTTTTCTTTTTTACTTCCACCGCTCCAAGCTTGCTCCTGTGATGGACTACAACCTCAATACAAACTAGTAGTCATCACTGGAGCCATTTTTTAAACTTTATTTTATAGTTTATCCGATTAACCGATTAATCGAACGTAATAATCGGCTAACTAATCGATTTTTAAAATAATCGTTAGCTGCAGCTCTGAACGAAACGAATAAGAACAGAAAACGAAACGAACGTTCGACCTACCGCTACCGAATTTCGTCCGAATGCGAATTGACTTTCACACCCGAATCCCGAAAAACGAAATAACACAAATCCGAATTTAAAACGAAACGAAACTAAACAAATTTTTTGGCAGTGCACATGTCTAGTGAACTCTCTGGTAATAAGTAAAGATCTATATAGAGGAAACCAGATGCACCTGAAGGCAAACCACACGGGGTGAATAATACCAGGTATACTCATTCCACGCATTCATATGGGTTTAGACACGTCCTGGAAAAACAGACCCGTGTGAATGAGGCCTTACACTAGAACACGTGAGATACAGGAAAAACAATGTGTGTGATATGGTGCCGTGTCCTTACAAACTGCACCTACCGTGTCCTTACAAACTGCACCTACCGTGTCCTTACAAACCGCACCTACCGTGTCCTTACAAACTGCACCTACCGTGTCCTTACAAACCGCACCACAACCGGCCCCTACCGTGTCCTTACAAACTGCACCTACCGTGTCCTTACAAACCGCACCTAACGTGTCCTTACAAACTGCATTTAGAGCTAATCTATAAACAGAAGCTGCGTACATAGAGATGAAAGTGGAAAAAACATTGTGTGTATTTTTCCTGGCTGAGGAAAAGGCTTTGCGGGGTGTCAAGGCTACAGCGACAAGGTGTCAATGTGCCATGGAGCAGGTGGGTCTGTTCTCAGA